ATATTGATATATTTGGAAAGTAGATTAACTAATCGTATAATTTAAAGTAAATATGAGTCATTTGCATTTTTCACTAAAACATTAAATTTCTCACAGATTATTCCACGCTAAAAATATACTCAAGTTGATGATGGAACGTTTAATAACAAAATCAATATATCAACCCAAGATTTAAAACAGATATTATATCAATTCTGTTCGCCCACAATAAAATGGCGACGGGCTTATTAGATAGGGGGTAATTTCAATTAAGCATATCTAATTATCTTCCTTTGTGGGTAGGGTATGAATAAATAAAAAAAATAATAAATTAACCTGTGTGACCGACACGTCGATCTATCCATCTGTCCATAGGATGCCGGCTAAGCTTGGATTACATAAGATGGAACGACCTTGATGTCAAACAAGATGTTGTCCGTAACATTAATGTTTCAAATCGCCACAGTGCACCAGTAATTCCCCCATTGACTCAAATGTTAATTCTGGTCTCATTGACCGGTTCTAACTTTTTTGCCAAATTTTTATTGGGTTGAACGCTTTCTACCACGAGATGGAGCAACATCTTGTTCAAAAGCATATAGTATGAGGTTCCCTATTAACATTCATAATCAGTACAAGAGTCGTGTACCATATGGTTTCGGGTGCCATTTTGTAATGAACAAATAAAAACATATTCTGCAACACAATGTGGAAGTAATTAGTAAAGGCTGATTCACATACGACAAAATAATAATTTATAAAACGTGTAGAATGCACTAAGCAGACGTAAAGGGCTGTCGTTCAATTTGAACTATTCACGTATTTCACCGAACATAATTGATTAGAAATTACAATATTGTTTCAAAAATTGAATATAAATCTCTTTACATACCTACATATTATATTAATAATATGTGCTTTTAGAACCATTTTTGTCTATTTCGAGGTTAAAAAAATAGAGCCATACGCCCTTTAAATATCTTATCCTTCTGTCTCAAAATCACGAATATTCACCAAAACCTGACAGATAATTTATATTCAAACCCCTTTCTGCGATTCTACACCATTGCCATGCAAGAGGTGGACAAGGGAAATCAAGATAAAAACTAAAATACCACTGGATTATCCAAATGTAGGATATGAATGCGTCCCCTGTGTAGAAATGCCAATAAAGGGAAGCAACTATCAACGGAAAAACTTTTTGTCTCTGACAAAGGCTTTTACATTCTCTGCGTTATCACCCTAGGTGGAAGCGTACGTTATGCCCCATTGAAAGAGAGAGAGAGAGAGGTTAAGCCCATTGAGCGAGAGAGGGAGAGAGAGAGAGAGAGAGAGAGCAATAATTAGTTGGGGTGGTGGAGGGGGGGGGGGTAAATTATGTGCTTTTTAGATTTTACCCGTAGAATCTAATCATTCGACTGGGTGGAAAACCAAAGTGCCTTGTGCGGCGTGAACGTAAAGGCGTATGGCCGTCATCATTAACCCTGGTTGGGAGGGGGGATGGTTAACGCGTGCGCGTTGTATCACATGACATGGTCTGTCACTGAATCAAGTGGCGTGGTTTCGGTCGCCTGTCTAACCCCGTGGGTTTTCTCCGGGTCCTCCGGTTTTCCCCCACTGCTAAAGAAAGATCTCTACGCGCATGGGAATTAATTATTAAAAAAAAAATTGAAACAGCGAAAAGCCCTAATTTGTGTGGAGTGGACGTTAAACCACACTTTTCTCTCTCTCACTCACTCGTCCGGGAGACAATCATAATAGCCCTAGTTGTGGATAATTTAGGCTTTTCTACAGCACTAATACTACAGGATATAAATGAAATACTACAGGTTAAACTGAGAGAAATTTTGTCCGGGCAGCGGCACTATGCCCTACTCTTATATCGAATTCCAACTGCCAAGGGATCTTTTACGTGCAATTCAATGTATACACGGGGCCTCGGTAGACAGCCCTCCTTCCTGCAACACTGACAAGGGGAAACGACGTCGGAAAAACTACAGGTTATGCGCATGTTAGTCTCGAAATGACCTAGGGTTTTTTTTGACAGAAGATATACTGTGAACCAAATATTGTACTAAAATACTATAGCATATGACCAAATACACACGTTAAATATTGAACTAATTATATAATAATTGTTGATAAGAAATGTCAGCTATAAGTAAGAAAGAGGTGTGATTGTTTATAGAAACAGATAGCACCACATCATCAAACGTGTGCCAGAAGAGAGGCTTTTGACAACTTCCCTTATGACGCCCCTGCCAATCCCCCAAGACTAGTGTGCAAGCCGAGGATGATGACGAATGTGTGAGACCACCGTGCGTGTATGAAGTTGCTTATGATAGTGTCAAAATATTCACCCGATTAAATTCACTTCATCATCACAGCGAAGGGTTGTCAACTGGTATTGTTTCGATCCAAAACTTATACGTTACAAGGAGTATGATCACCTGTGCAATCTCGCGGGTTTTCTCCGGGTGATTTCGCTTTCTCACTCTCTCGGTGGGAGATTAAGCAATAAGGGAGATAACTCGCGTTGGTCTAAAACCTCTGAATGCCTTCGAGAGCCTATCTATGATCTGTTTCAGTGATGTAAAAAGAGGAAATGAAATGAAATGAAATGGGGTTTAACGTCCTACTGTTCTGCTCCTAACCTGGGCTAATGAAGACGGGCATACGCCATTCGGTGTGCTATGAGGGAAATTTTGCCCGGACAGCGGCACTACGGCCTACTCTTATATCGAATTCCAACTGCCAAGGGATCTTTTACGTGCACGCCAATGTGTACACGGGACCTCGGTTTTTCGTCCCATCCGAACGACTAGACAGCTTTCCTTGCCAGCCCCTCCGTCCTGCATCACTGACAAGGGAGAATCACGCCGGAAAATCTGGATGAACTTTCTCGGCCAATGCAGGGATCGAACACCCGACCTCCAGACTAGCGAGCTAGCGTCTTACCCACTTAGCCACGTGATCCCCTGTAGAAAGAGGAGTAGAAGGGGAGTAGACGAGGGTGTGTGGGGTGGGGGCGCTGGGCAAGGAACAGCACCTATTCGTTCGGATGGGATGAACAACCGAGTGATATTTTTTTAAAACCAAATGAATTCCACTTTAAGATGTCGTGAGATCAAATCGGTTGTCTAGATTCTATTTCGCATGAATATTTAAATCATTATTTATCAGTGGTAGTAAGTAGATTAAGACACGGAAGATAACGTCTGATAAATAAACTGAACGATCAGACCACGAGATCAAGACAAATTAGAATTCTTGTATAGACAAAATACTTAATAAAAGTTCGCAACACTGGTCTTGGTTGGCGGTTCCAGCTACTGGTGTTTTATTACGTGAGAGAAAGATAGAGATAGAGAGAGGGGGTTGGGTAACGTTCACTGGACACGAACTGGGTCATTTCGGGACAAACATATGGTTCAATTTTATTTCATTAATTTCTTTAGCTGTGCGGGGAAACTGGAGGACCGAGGAAAACCCGGGAGGGTGGACGTGCGACCCTTCTCCTTATCACGTACAAGCGGGAAATCGAAACCACGACACTTGCCTCGATGATAGACCTCATGATGCTACGCGTATGAGTTAAATAATTCGGCCACCCAACACCACTCGGGATCTTTAAGAATGACCGTCATATTGCCGATAGTCTGTGTATCTCCTGTTAAACTGATTAGTCACGTTTGTTGATCAGTATTTGAAATGATAAATATCCAAATATATATCGGTATGTTTGGAGGGCGTATCAATATCAAGGCTACTTTCTAAATGTCAGTTAAGTACGACCGGGTTCGCCATATCTGTCGAGAGCAAAAAATAGGATTTAACGTCTACTCAAACTAAGTCATTTCAGAAATGAAATGAAATGGAGTTTAAGTTCATACTGTTCTGCCCCTAAACTGGGGTAATAAAGACGGGCATACGCCATACAGTGTGCTATGAAGGAAATTTTACTCTGGCAGCGGCACTATGGCCTACTCTTATATCGAATTTCAACTGTCAAAGGATCTTTTACGTGCACACCAATGTACATACGTTGAATCCGAACGACTAGACAGCTTTCCTTGTCAGGCCTTCCGCCCTGCACCATTGATAAGGAGAAACGACGTCGGAAGATCACGATGAACTTTCTCGACCACTGCAGTGATCGAACACGCGACTTCCAGGCTAGCGAGCAAGCGTCTTACCCACTTAGCCACCGTAGCTCAAGATCATTTTATGACTAAGATATAGTTTTATTTTATTTCAATAATTAATTTGCATGTAGGAGTCATTTTAAGTAGTGTCAGAAATTCGGAGGACCTGCATAAAACCCACGAGGATGGGCATGCGACACAACTAACCAATACTGGACAATACTTTCTTACATCTTAACCCAAGCTCAGGGATCTTTCCTGTGATAGGGAATGTCGGACTCGGAGTAAATCCACGAGGTTGAGAAGGCGCCCCTATCTCCAAGCTACATACGCTCACACCCGGGATCGAAACCACAACCGGCCAGCTAGAGGTCGACGCGCGACACTCTAGACCACTATTCCAGAGAGAGAGAGAGAGAGAGAGAGAGAGAGAGAGATGGGGTTTAACGTCCACTCGACACAAACTAGGTCATTTCGGGACTAACATATGGTTTAATTTTATTTCAATAATTCGCTTGCGCGTAGGGGTCTGTAGTAGTGGGAGGAAACCAGAGGACCCGGAGAAAACCCACGAGGTTGGACAGGCGAACTTACTCCTTGTCACGTACAACGGGGGATTCGAAACCACGCCAGTTGACTCAATGACAGGCCCTATGATACAGCACGCACGTGCTAACCATTCGACCCCCCCCCCCACTATTCCAACCCCCATTTAATATTGGCAGCGATACCCTTTTATTAAGTGGCATTTAGATCATCATGTATAATGTGTACACAGTGACAGATCTTTGATGTAAAGAGCACGTGTTAAACAACTGGACACCCACCTCCAACACCACGCCACAGGAAACAAGAAAAGTAAATCAAAAAGAAAATATAAAAACAAGAAAATCATCATTTATTATAAATGTTCCTCGTCATTACAACATATATAATAATTTTCAATAAATTAATTTTAAGTTAAAATTCATTGTGAAATATAATAATAAATATTACATTGTGCTGGAATAAAAATAAAACACATCAAGAATTAAAGCATAATGTCAGGAAGACAATAAGCTATTAGAATAAATCTTTCATCTTTAATACACGTACATGTACACATATACCCGACTCCTTCAAATACCCGCAATAGGTTAATGGAATAAAATCCTTAATCGTCTATAGGCTACTCCTATACCGAGGTCGCTTAAATTTCCTATTCCATACTTAAAAAATTAATTAACCCTTTCCAGTTTTTCCAGTGGACCATCGCTGTATTTTTATCAGAAGTATTATATGGTCAGGAAACTATCAACTATTACACGTTCGCTTGACATTCTTCTTAAATCTCATATTCAAACTGGTGTTCGATGATACCTATTACATATCTGGTCGACAAAGTTCTATAGAAAGTGTTCGTACTTGATATGTAAAGGCCCATGAGCATCATGCCCTATATTGTAATTTATTAAACATACAAAAAAACACAAATATATGAAGCGTTATTTGTACCGAAATTATGTGCATAGAAAATACCGAATTTATAAACCATAGATATTATAATAATCATATAAAAAAAGAAAAAAAGTACGAGCGTACTATGGACCAGGAACCGAACATGACGTCATATCAAAGATGGATGTCCTGTAATCGATGCGCGGGGAACAAGGGCTAGATCTGTTTGTTAAGGCCAACTCAATTCTCGTCAAGGTAGCTAAGATGTAAATCAGGTTATTGTTGGAAAGGTTGTAGGTTAGGGTTAGGGTAAGCGTTAGGTCTAGGCCCTGTTTACATCTCGTGACCTGTGATCAAACTTAAAGTTGCCCTTATGAAGAAGATCTAACCGGGAACAAGTATTCCCAATGTACTGCGATCGTACTTGAATTGGCCCCAACCCTCTCCAGAATAACAACAATACCCAGAGGATTAGCACTTTATGTCCAGTTCTTGTCCCCAAAAATGTATGATTAAAATATTAATAATATTTAAATAATATTTAAAATATGCACGTTTAAATTTGCCTTAACAACGATGGATGAGTAGATCCAAAACAATGGACCACAAAACGTGGTGTCAAAAGTCAATCACGTGACGTGCGGAAGGGAAAAGACGTCACACACAAGAGGAGGTTCCGAGGGTTGGTTTAATTCTACCGAAATGACGATGCTATATCAACGTGAAAAAATCTTTGGTTATCCACGAGAATGCTACAGACCTGACAGCTACGTTAATCGTTCACAGCGCCAACATAAATATTGAAATCCGAATAATTAATCACGGTTATTCGAACTGAACTTTTAGCATTCGGTCTTGGATGCCTGTCAAAAGTATTGGAATCTAATCTTGACTCCTATAAATCATTTACTATCATGAGAGCATTGAAATCAACCTAAACTATTACGATTACAATGATTTATAGCTTCCATAAGTCAGAAATACATCGTCCATATTTTGTGGTAGAAGGGGTCGGGGTGGGAAGGTGGGGGTGGGGTGGGGGTGACACGAATGAGGATAAGCAGGATATAAACAACTGATAAAATTAATTACCTACACGGTAATCTGTGATCTAGATTGTGATAGAAGGTAGCAAAAATGTGTGATAGCAAGTAGCAATAATATGTGATAGCAGGTAGCAATATGTGATTGCAGATAGCAATAAAAAATGTTTGATTTATCAGGTAGCAACAATGTGTGATACGGGATCAACACAACTGCGATAAATCCAACAGGATGACGGGAAAAGTAGCAGAGAAACTTTACAAAGATAGATGTTTGAGCCACTACAGAAATCGCCGATGTGATAGTTGATAAGGCTGGATCAGGAATCGCCGACGTGATACATGTTACGACATGTTACGAATCGGCGATTCATGTTACGGCCGGATCAGGAAACAATTGTTCCTTTTAATAGACGGATCACTACAAGCTGTAAAGAAGGGTCAGTATTACCCTTTCCATTTCAAGTTAAACATTAAGTGTCATTTTACGAGTTAATCTTTGGAAAATGGAAAATATAAGCTGTACATTATGCTCTAATTATGACCTTTGGTATACATGTAGTTCATTTCTGTTTTGTTATTTTCACCCGAGAATGTTCAAAAGACTTTAACAGTGTTGTTATATTGTTATAAATAATGCAATTATTCAACGCTTTTCTATAGTCTTATGACATGATCCATTTTTCGCAAATCTAAATAATTCACGATGTACCGACGTCATGTCTAATAAATAAATAAATAAATAATAGTTTCATAATCTTCTATCAACAGGTATACAACTTAGTAATATTCCAGAGAAAGGTCGTAATCTCATTTATAATCTACACGGTGACCACTTCATACTCATAAATTAACAAACGACACTCACTTCACGCATAGTTCCTCTAAAATAAAACAGTACCAAATCCATGCGCCTGTTTTCTCGCACTATTACACATAATTTGCATACACATTGAGTTATATGCCCATATAATCCGATTCATGTACATACCATAATACTAATATTAATTTTAAAAAAAAAGAAAAAAAAAACTTTTAAAGATTAGGATTTTTGGTCCCCACTGCACCACACCCCTATCAACATTATACAAAAGTCACGACATCACTTTCATCACATCTCACGTATCACACTCACCCTTCGCTTCATGGAATCATTTGTAGTAATGAATTTTAGCGTCATTGGCAACGATACTCTGACTGGTGTATTTAAAAAACATTTCCCAAAACGCCGGAAGAATCGGCGTGTTCCTGATATGTACAAGTTGAGGAAAGGCTTTCCGGAAGTGCTTGGTCGCTTCCCGTAGGTGATAGTGGGGAATAACGGGAAATAGATGGTGGACCTGGTGAGTTCCAATCGTGTGGATGACGTCATGAATCATACCGTAGTCCCGATCAACTGAGCTCAACTTGCCTCTGACATTATCCCAACTGTTTTCGCCATACCAGGGAAGTTCTAGATCACTATGGTGGAGGAAGGTTACAACAACTATGTAACAGCCACATATAAACACCGGAACCGCGTAATGATACAACAAATTACCTAAACCCATTTTAGAGGCGTAGAAATAAAGACAAACTAACCAGAGTGCAATAGAGGCTATCGATAGAGCGCACCCTAAAAGATGTCGGGCAAATATTGGGTGAGAGGGAATCCAGTGGTTCATGGGCCGTGGTCCAAATCCTTTCCAGAGGTAGGCCATCCATCCAAATCCGAGACCAAAGAGTGGAAGGAATGAATTTTTGTTGTTGTCCTTTTCTCTAACGGGGTAAAATATCTCATCTTTATCCATGTTTCCCGTGTTATTGTGGTGATGTCGATGTGAAAGTTTCCACGGATAGTATGGAGTCATCACCAAGGTATGGAGCACGGTCCCAAGGCAGTCATTCAGGAGTGCATAGCTTGAAAATGATCCGTGATTGCAATCATGTCCCAATACGAAAATTGAAAAGAAGAGTGTTCCCTGGGCAAACCAATATATCGGCGTTAGAAGTGCCAGCAAAACGTACGATTTAAAACCTAGCAACCATTGAGCTAGACAGAACATAGCTGCTACTAAAATCATGTCCTTGACAACATAATACATAGACTCTGCCACAGTTGGTCTGAAGCAGTGTCGTGGTAAAGCTGCCTTTATTTCGGATAATGTTGGAAGCTTAGCCGTGAGCATGTCAACCTTCCCAGTGTCCTTAACATGCGATGTACCATTTCCATTAAGTACTGATGATTCGTGTTGCTTGCCATTTGTAGTCGATCGATGTCGAATATATCCATTTTGTTCGTTGTCAATTGAGGGATCAGAATTATCTGAGCAAGCATGGGTTACGGTTAGCTCGGGGATTTTGGGATCGGCCTTGTTAGCAGTTTCAGTTTCTGCTGCAGCAGTAGTCTGGAATTCAATTTCATCTATCTTCATCTTTGGGCTTTTAGGAGCTGCTACTGATCTCCAAATGCTTGGTTTAACGAACGCGGTTGGTTCGCATATATTCACTGGTTTATCTCCGTTTGGTACCTCTCTAGGTGGGCTCCAGTTTATACGGGTGAAACGTGATTTAGGAGTTATTGCTGAAGGGGATGGCGATTCGATGCCTTTCAGTTCAGTCGGTGTTACTAAACTCTCTGACGTATCCCTGTTAGCTATTGTCTCAGTATGATTATCGACAGTTGATCTCGGCGATAACCGTAACCGTGTCCGTGTCAATGGTACTACTTTCTTTTCGGGTGGTGTAATCCTATATTTCACGGGAGTTTGGACCTGTGGCTTAGTATCCTCCGGGGATGCTCTTTCCTTAACTAATGGAGTTGATATTATGTTGGGTTCCACCAACGTTGATGTGGTTTCTGATGCGGGTGGCAGGACTACAATGATTGGCTGTTTGGTTGTTCTGGTAATATGTTCTAAAGGTGGTACCTTCGTTTGTAATTCTTTAGATATATTCTCTGACAACGGCTGCTCTGCTACTTTTCCTAGTGGGCATATGACGTCTGTGTCATCATGAATGTTGTGTTTCAAGACGGATAAGACCTTTTCTTTTTGAGAATCCTGTAGATTACTAGTGGACGTTTTATCGGGAGACAATCGCTTGATAGGTTTTTCTGGTGATGACCTTTTAGAAATCGGATTGTTCTCGGGTAAATTGACGGCACTCTGCTCTAAAGCTAATTTTTCTAATCTGTCTTTTAAACTTTTATTTGGAAACAATCGATTTATAGGTTTTTCTGGTAATGACCTGTTAGATCTAGGGCTGTTCTCTGGTAAATCGACAGCACTCTGCTCTGGGGCTAATTGCTCGAATCTGTCTCTTAAACTTTTATTTGGAGACAATCGATTTATAGTTTTTTCTGGTGATGAACTTTTAGATCTAGGGCTGATCTCCGGTGAATCAACAGAACTCTTTTCTGAAGCTAATTGTTCGAATCTGTCTCTTAAACTTTTATTTGTAGGAGACAATGGATTTATAAGTTTTTCTGGTGATGACCTGTTAGGTCTCGAGCTGTTCTCCGGTAAATCGACAGCACACTGCTCTGAAGCTAATTGTTCGAATCTGTCTCTTAAACTTTTATTTGTTGGAGACAATCGATTTATAGGTTTTTCTGGTGATGAACTTTTAGATCTAGGACTGCGCTCGGGTGAATCAACAGCACTCTGCCCAGAAGCTAATTGTTCGAATCTGTCTCTTAAGCTTTTATTTGTTGGAGATAATCGATTTATAGGTTTTTCCGGTGATGAACTTTTAGATCTAGGACTGTGCTCGGGTGAATCGGAAGCAAATTGTTCGAACCTGTCTCTCAAAACTCTATTCTTAATCCCAAGAGGTTTTGAAGAAGGTTTCGGTGATACCTTAGGAGGTGATTCTCTCGTAGGTCGGTTTCGTATGCAATTCCGTGGTGATAGTGTTTCAACTGGTGGACAGGGAAAATCTTCTTTCGCTTTCGACTCAACACGTTCTTTCACAGACTTGACACCAAATTCGCCCAGCTCATTTGACACATCTTCAAGCCCGTCTTCGCCTTTGATACTGGGGCTTTCAACCAAGGCGGCTGTAGGAGCTGATGCGGATAGGCTATCACCGAGTGTGGTTGCGGGTGTCGGTGTGTCTTGAGGAGATGAGTCTCTTAATTCGTTCCGTCCTTGTTCATTAGCTAGATTCCGTTTAAACTGAAATAAATAAAAATATATAACCATTAAAATAATAGACACAAATTTGGTGAAACGAAATAAAATAAAAGGAATCGGGGTCTAACCTACTGTACTGCACCCACTGGGCTAATTTTGTAGCAATGCCAAGTGACAGCAAATGATCAATAATCAGTAAGCATATCTTACATTGTCCATGACACCAGCCACTACTTATGGCTAACTGACGCGGTGGTTAGCCGACCTTATCCAATGAATCAGGTTTGTAAAATAACAGATGGGGCCGCGGGAGAGAGGGAGGGGTCTTGAGCAGTTGGGCGAATCTAAGAACCCGGAGAAATCCCACGAGGATGGACCCTACTCCTTGAGAAGTACAGGAGGGGATCGAAGCCACGCCACTCAATGACAGACCCTATGATGCAACCATTCAGCCACCCAACGTCCCTGACAATTGCTAAGTGTTGCTTAGTCATTCGGATGGGATAAAAAAAAAACCGGTGCCGGTGCCCACTCGTATACACGTAAAAGGACAATTGAGTGTTGGAATTCGATGAAGGGTAAGCGAAAGCGCTACTGTTCTCCAATAGAATTGCACATGTAACCATAGATACTATAAGAGCCTGTTAGTCTCTGAAGGATTCTAACATAAGACAAATTGTTTGTTCGGTACATGAACGGTCAGTCGTGGACTTAGATTAACTGCCTGACAAGACATTCATATAGTGAAAATTACATTCAAATTACTTTATTCTGTGAGACATTATCGCTGTTTGAAGTTTTGACATAAGTTGTTTATTATTGTTGCAACGTTACATGTGCTTGTTAATCCGACCTCACGTCTCCATTTTAAATGAAATCGTTACATGGCGGTCGTAGTTTTATCCGTTTGCATCTGCTACATGTGAATAAATGTCTAAATAATAATTTATATACCATTAAATGTCGATCGTAGTTTAACCCGTTTGCATCTGCTACATCCGATGGTCTAGAGAGTCGATTATAGGCTTGCCATGTGAATAAAAGTCTCAATAATAATTTATATAACATTTGAAGCCAAAATAAAGATTTAGCTATTTGAAAATGCATCTTTTAAGGCTGATGCAATCTATTCATTTTCTCCTAATTAAAATCTTTACACAAGTTTTTTTTTAAAACAAAATAGTCGATGAGTGGATGAGTTGAGCCTCCGTGGTGTAATATGTTATAACGGAACAATTAGCTTCAGAACAGAGTGTTGTCGATTCACCCCCAGATCTAAAAGTTCATCACCAGAAAAAAATTATAAATCGATTGTCTCCAAATAAAAGTTTAAGAGACAGATTCGAACTATTAGCTGTCCTTTCAATAATACCTGTGGATGATTTGAGCATCCGTGGTTTAATATTTTATAACGGAACCCTTCAGCAGATATTATTCTGAATCAGTAAGTAAGAAGTGTAACTAGAAGTCACATGCAGTCATCAACATCTTCCGCGCCGCTGAGTCAAGTTTGTTATTTTAAGTTAATAAGTGTACAGAGTTTCATAAGATATCCTAAACGGTTTATTAGATATTTTCCGGAAACAAAACTGAGATGGAAGGACGGAGGACGGAGTCCACTTCAAGATCTCTTACTTAATAATTACGACGTAAGACAACCTTTGAAGTAATGTGAAAAAAAATTTGCTAGTTATGTTCATGAATACATCTCAAACATTCCAAAACATCCCAGTAATGTAAACATAAATGTGCTAGTTATGTACAGGAATACATCTCAGACATTCCAAAACAGCCCAATAAAACATGGATGACACGGTACATCTCAAAATGACAAAGCCCAAGGGTGCAGAAGATGACAAAAATTTAACCTGAACTTCAAGATGAATACACAACCATTAGCTACGTGGACATGTCACATCACTAGACATCTCTCATAGATGAGTCGCAACATTTTTAACACCAACAATGATCGAAACAGCCCAATAAAACATGGATGACACGGTACATCTCAAAATGACAAAGCCCAAGGGTGCAGAAGGTGACAAAAATTTAACCTGAACTTCAAGATGAATACACAACCATTAGCTACGTGGACATGTCACATCACTAGACATCTCTCATAGATGAGTCGCAACATTTTTAACACCAACAATGATCTAAACAACAACGTTTTTTCTTTAAATATATCATCAATAACATATACAGTTCAAGGTATAAAAGGTGAAAGTCCAATAATTTGTATCCTCATTTTCACTAGTTCTTTCTTTTACATTTGTGTACGGTGGAATTAAAGGCCAGGGTCCATCTTTGAACAATGTTAGATAACGAGGACGACTACTAGACTTGGCTTCTAAACACTTTGTTCGTGAGCCCTTTCAAACGCCACAGAAACCAAATGAAGTTGTGATTAACCTACATTTCGACACTCACCGGGATCATGAAGACGGACATGCAATGTGATATGAGGAGCACGACCTGCTCATTATTTCGAATTTCATGTTAAGGGTTCTATTATTACGTGCACGCCAATGTTTACACGGGACATTAATATTTTTCTTTTTCTTCAAAACGACTAAAAACTTTTCCTTGTCAGGCCATTCGATTTCCGCCACTGACCGGGCAAAGTTTCTCTCATAGCACACTGTATGGCGTATGCCCGTCTTCATTAGCCCAGCATAGGAGCAGAACAGTAGGACGTTAAACCCCATTTCATTTCATTTCATTTCATCTCCTTCAATCATTGAATCGCTTCTTATATGTGCAGTGGTCTTATGGAAAACATTTCATGGTGGAAAACATCAACATCACAAGACCTTTGTTTTGTTTCCACGATATAATCACGCTGTTCAATTCGTGAACAATGTATTGCAAACTAATTGTTGTCCAGGAATGAACATGGACATTGCCTTTCCAGATAATTAATCAGCAAGTCATCTTTATTCGATTAGGTTTTTTTTATATATCAAAATTGCACACGATCATTAGACAAGATAAGGGATGTAGTTTGATTCAGGACATTCCTCTGGCCTAGTTTAATTTAAAACAGATTCTGTTGACATACAATTTGAAAAATGTTATTTGATCCTAGATTTGTAAGTTGTAACATAACTTATATCTGAGTCCGTGCTGGGAACTTCAGTCTATTTGTATTGAGTGGGTTAGGCTGCCAAATGGTTAAACGTGTGCGCGTTAGATAACCAGGTCTGTCATTGATGCAGTGGCGTGGTTTCGATTCCCCGCGAGTCCGGGGCGTCTGTCTAACCTCGTGGGTTTTCCCCGGGTCCCCCGGGGTCCTCCCACACCTAAATTTTTAAAATTCCTGGCATTTCTATAACGAATTATTGATGTGCGAACATATCTTTTATGTGCACAACAACCTGTACACGGGGATCCCGGTCTTCAGTGCCATCCGAACAACTAGACGTCGTTGTCCATAACCGGGCCCTCCGTTCTGCACCACTGCCAACATGGCAGCGGACCGGAAAATCACGGGAAACTATCTCCGTCAACACCTGGATTGGACCTGGGACCTCCTTGTCAATAAGTTAACACCTTTCGCACCGAACCACCGTCACTAAATAAACCACGTGTTAGTAACAAAATAAATTAGTCATGTTGAGTAACGATTTTAAACCCTATTTCTCTTACACAATGGCAATCGACACACGATAAAAACTTGGTACAGCGATAAGGTTCGATGAAAACTCGACCTACAAAACAACCCCTAGTCCCCAGTGTGTGCATTCTATATTTTATAAACGTAGAGAACAATGGCGAACCTGACGTCGGTGTTTATTGACTTGCACTCAGATGCATTATTTCTTTTACAGACTCCTGAATTGAAACAACACGCAGTTATGATGTGGAATATAACAGTTCTTTAAAAAAGCGTAACATTAAAGAGAGAGAGAGAGAGAGAGAGAGAGAGAGAGAGAGAGAGTTAATGTGACTCGATACAACCTAGGTCATTTTGGGACTAACATGTACAGTTGCAACTCTCTCTCTCCCTCTCTCTCTCTCTCTCAATACAACCTAGGTCATTTTGGGACTAACAGAGTACAGTTGTATCTTAATAATACACCTGTTCGTATGGCTCTCTCTCTCTCTCTCTCTCTCTCTAACCAATAAAATCTATCTTGAAATCTAATAGAGATGATTACAAGGCAGATGGCCTGAAGGTGGATAAGAAACACCAGACTATAGAATGGTTTTATAGATCTGTTAGCTGTATTGTTTGACCTATAGATTATATACTGTTAAAATATATACACATATATACACCAATATCGCTAGCATCTGTCTTAATCCACACAGTTATTGACGTCATTGACCGCCATTCTATACAATTTGTATAATGTAATTGACCAATGCGGGTTCAAACGGCCATCAACCTATTCGCGAGCCAGAATAATATATATCTTGATTGTAATCATTCTTTAAAATCATACTAATTGTTGAATATGTATATTAATTCTTGAATAATTTCCATTCTTTATCTCACTTTAACTGTAAAAATAATCGAGTGTTTTTGGTAGTCAACTAATGTAAGAATTAGATTTTTTAAACGTTGTATTTGAGAAATAAGGAGATTTGTGTAAACCATGTGTTAGTCACAAAATAACCTCGTTTTGTCGAGTAGATTTTTAAACCCGTAAAAATTATGAGATTCGACGTACGATGCAAATTATTATCATGATAAAGTTCAATGAGAAATCTACTCACAAACAAATTAAGTTAAAGTGACACTACCATTGAATTGTCTTAAGTCTTAAGCCCATTTGCCATGTACACGTTTTCGCGGCGTTTCTGTGCGCCTTCTCGTCGGTTAGATGAAAAAGGCCCCATTAGATCGACTTTTTATTTCTTTCGCTTTCTGGAAGTGGTAATAAGCTGATGCCAGTCGGAATATCTTCGTGTCATTAACCAGCATATAATCGTGCTATAGTAATTCTGGCGGTTTAAAATAATACCTTTTATCTCTATATTGATTACCGTGCCATGAATATCAACAAACAACTAGAGTACGTGTTTTTCTTTACATATATTATTTTATCTCCCAGATCGTCATT